CAGATATTTAATTTTAACCGACTGCATGATCTCACTGAACTGCCTGTGAACATGTGTTGTGAATTGGTGTCATACTTTATAAATTAACTTAGTTGAATTGACTTAAATGATCACAAAACTATGAATTTCTGTAGATGTTCACTTAGTGGTTGGAGTATGCAAATTACAGCAAGTTATTAAAGCTACTTTAGCATTTTCCAGCATAATCTGGACCTTAAAGTCTTAGCAAACTATGAAGAACGCGTCTTCACTCACTCACAGCCAATCAGATGTCAGTTTCTACATAGGACTGATCCAAATCCCACCCCCTACATTTGATGGGTGAGGATACCCTCTTTTTTTTTTTTTTTTTTGTAACGAGTTTGCAACAAGGATGCCATTACATAAATAAATAAATGAATACAGAATGAACTATAAATAAAGTAATGAATAAAAATACATTTAATTATTTAATGTCATAATTAAAAAGATATTTAATTGAACGTTTCATAATTTTATATGACATTCCTGTATATAATTATGCATCAAATAAATGTGCACATTCAATTATCTAATGGGGCATTTAAATACACGTGTTTATTTCTTGTTGCACTAAATAAAATTAAATTGTATTTTCAGATTTATTCATTTCATCAAATACAGTACTTTTCTTCCTCTAACAGTGTCCTTGTTTCATGCATATAAATTGCTTTATTATAATTATGCAGGGAGTTTTACAGATTATATGGACACTTCATCACATATTTATTTTGTACCCTTCGACCCTCCATATGCTGGTGCCACATAACTGCTTTTCTTATTTGCATGTGCAGCAACGTCTTATTATTTTCAAGGAGACATAACGTTTCCTTATTCTGAGAACTGTCACACTTATTTTCCACTAACCCTCATTTGTAGCCGACTGGTTTGTTGAACTTCCCCTTAACTGCCTGGCTGACATTAATAGATGGAGTACACCGCAGTTTCAGAATTGTATTCACAACAAAACTGAAGTCAAAACAAGCAATAAGGCTCACTATGTTGATTTATTTTCACTGAACTCAAAACTGTTTAATTTTTTTAAATGTTTTTTTAATGGCTCTCATAATGTATGGAGGACCAAAACTGAAATAAAAAAAATAAAAGCAGAAATATCTTGTCCATTGCTAATGAGGGCGGGGTAGAAGCTTTTGCATTTTCAGAGGATACCATGCAAACTGGAGCTTTTGCTGCTGCAGCTCAAAGACCTTTAACCAACCCTCCTGTGAAGACATCCAGATGGTAAATGAAGAGTAAAAGAGAGATGTCAACCTAATGAGAGAGGAGGGCCAATGATGTGGTGCCAAAGCTTTCGATCTTAACAACAGCTGCACACTTACCCCATGAGCACATTTGTTTATGAAAAACATCTTTCCTATCTTTCAAAGATATAAACAACCTGCTTGGGCAAAATTTAACAAGATTTGTTTTTCCTCAAATAGATAAAAAAAAAATAATAATAATAATAATAAAATCGAGTAGGCTGCACACAAAGAAACAAATAGACACAATGATACCAAAGTGATGCCAACCTGCAGCTTATGCACACGTACATATGCACCACAACTGACATATAAACAAACAGCAAAAAATCCAATACATCTAGTTTTTCCAGCAGGAGATTGCTGATATGGCAGATACTGGCCCACACAGTGGAAGTTAAAGCAATGAAAAAGAAATAACACATCTTAAGCTCACCCAGAGCTGATAATGTGATAGAGATTTATCTGGAACAAAATCACATAGAGATTTATCTGGAACAAAGGATGTCTAATACAGGCAAAGACAGACAAAGTGAAACACCTGCATGTAGGCTTTAATTGTGCGATCGTAATTACCATAAACGGGAGCTTTGTTTAACAATGGCGTCAAATTGATTAGATACGGTCTATGTTATTGTGCGTGAGCGTCTGCATAAATGTATGTGTGTGTGTGTGTGTGATTACATGTCTGTTAGACGCTTCCTGTCCCGCCTATGTCTTGCCCCAGCAGCCCCAGCTGGCAAGCAGGGGATGTAGGGAGGGGAAAATAAGGATGCAAATATCCCTGTCAAGTTCTGGCAGTTCCCCTGGGGTGCAGATGATTTATGCTGATCAGGTTTAAACTGAGTGTCTCTGTTGTGTGGAAGTATTTGTGTGCATTTTTGTATTTGCAGGGGCAGTGTTTCCACCTGTCTTATCTGGATGCACACATGAGACCCTCAGAAAGATGCTCAGAAACCTGCTGAGGCATCTTTCTTAATGGACATCCAGAGTGTTAAAATGAGAGTCAGCATGTTGGAGTGAGAGTGCCCCTGTAAGTGCATGCAGGTTCTCCAGGGCTGTCTGTGTATCCTAATGGAGGAATGCTCTCAGTCAAAAGAGAGAGGAAAACACCCAACCAACAGGTAATATTTCAAAACACATATCCGTCTTTAAATTTAAAGAAAAGAAGCTTGTTTTCACGTTTAAAATGCAATTTCATTTCAGAAGTTTAAGTCTACTTTTTAATTTATAGTAATAATAGGAATTTTAAAAAATGCAGTAAATATCAGTACAAATATTTTAGCAGAAAGAACAACTCCTGATCAATTAAAAGTCTTGAAAAAAATGTGGCTACATTGAGCCTAAAATGAAATTGTTAATGGCAATTATTTATCAACAACTATTGAAAAAAGCTGCATTTTAGGTATAGGAAAATATTTGTAAAGAGCCGATAAAATGTAGGGATAACTCAGTCAGCTGTGTTTAGCACAAGATAATGGTCCAAATCATTTATGGGAATGGGTTAGCCAATAATTAGAGGACAGCAACATTGCTTTAGCAGCAAAATGAAAAAAAATAAATAAATAAAAAGGATCAGAACTAATGAAAAAAAATGTATTAATCTAAAATATGCATTCATATATTAACTTATTAATTCATTTATAAATGCATTGCTCAAACTTTGGCATATGAGACCAAACAGAACGCTCTAAATACTTGAGAGACATATGGTTTGTCAAATCCTTGATTTCTCCTTCATCACTATGCTACTTTAACACTTATATTTGAGTATATCATAGCAGGTGAATTTGAACAAATCATGCAGGGAGATGCAGCAGCCTGGATATTCTCTAGTGAACTATGAATGTCATTGTGAAGAATAAAACCTATTCAGACTGTTAAGGAAAACACAGATACATTAGATCACTGAAATGATGTGCTCATACAAAAAAAAATTACTTTTTTAAGAGATTGGCTGAACAAAATGCGTCAGTATGGCCTCCAGTAATACTATTGGGGGAAAGAAAATAGGAGCTTCGCTTTTTAGAGAATCACATTCACAGCATTTAGAAAAAAAAGCCTGAATCAGGACATCTCAAATAAAGATGTTGTGGCATTTGGAGAACACATGGGATTTGAAGGCGGTAAAAAAGTTGGATTTTCTGGCTAGTAGACAGGGTATGTGGGAAAGAAAAAGGTAATAAAATGTCTACTTGGTTTCCTCTGGTTTCACTTGACTCTTCTCTCCATTAGAAACAAACTCCCCAAAGATGCACTAATGGCTTTTAGCTTTTTCGAGATGCATCATTTTTTATTTTTTTTATGGTACGACCTTTTCTTGCCTGTGCAGGAGCATCGGTGCAGGTCCCGCATCAGAAATATATAATTTTTTGTTGAATATGAATAAAAGGATGAGTAATGGCCCCCATTTCTA